TGGATATTTCCATAAGTGTTTTTGTCTATTTTAATAAAACAAAATTAAAAGTGATATTGCTTTGTGCATATTTAAGGTGTCTCAAATATTTTATCTGACTTTTTCCATCTTTTTTCCCATTTTAGTTACCTTTAGTTTTTTGTGACCCAACAATAGGTATGTGTGGTTCACATTTATCATTGTTGTCAAGTAATATTTAATTAGTAAATATTTTGGACGTAAATCTTTTTCATCTTTTCACATTTTTGCTGTTTTTGGGATGTCTTTTTATTTAAACTATTAACATTTGTAAAAAAGAAGGAAGAAAGGATGTATATCAAGATCAAAGAAAGGTGAAAGGTGACTCAATGATCGATCACGTGACACAGTTTGAGGCAAAAAAAATAACTAAATAAATAAAAACTTGAGATTATTATTAATCATCTGAGAAACTGAACTCTGTGAATACTTTTCTTGTTTCCCCCACGTTGACTTCATCAGACCGTAACCTTTGTAGACACAGAATCAAAGTGTTATCATGGTGGAGTTTAAACAACACCTAAGTGTTATATTAGGTTAGAAGTGATTGGCCTAAAAATCCATCCTTAGCTCTTTCTCATCTTCTGTGTTGTAAAAATCACAGCTTTCCTGTTTCCTGCTCTTAAATATTTGCTTTCCTCTGCACTGACAGGATTACTTTGTTTGTTGCTGTCTTTTCCCATGGGAATGAGAGCTGACCTGGAGTTCAATGCTGAGTGAGAAGTGACCTGCATTCCCATACTTCATAAAAACAGGAGGGGACAGCATATTACCTTGTGGGACGCTGTTTACTATGACCACACTGCCACCAAGGCCCGCGTTGGTGACAGAGTTGTGAGAACGACAACAGTGAAACACTGGCAAGGTTAAAGAATGACAACAGGGCTGAGTGAGAACCAGGAGGGAAGTCAGGTGTTTCTTAGGCAAGAATAAAATATCTCTTTGTTTTGGGAGAATTTCACACTTTAAGGTCAGTAGGGGAAAAGGTAAGTTGCACTTGTTTGGACTAAGTGAGGTTGAACTCCACTGTAAAAAAATAAATAAATAGAAAAAATTAAAAAAAGGGTAATATTAATAAACGTAAAAAATCAACATCCCGTAACGATAGAGTAGTTTCCCATGATTGAAATACATTTTATTACTGAAATTGAAAGTGATAATTACAATTATTTTTAAGTTTATCTGTTTTAAAAGAATACTATAAATATGTTGAAAAAGTTTTAATACAAATAATGAGACCTGAAATTCCAACAAAACTCTGTTGCTATCATGAGTTGTGCATTTTAAAAAAGTAAAAAAAAAAGCATGAACAATTTAAAATTTAAGCATATGCACTGCTAATTCTACAAGTATTCTACTTACTTTTCTTAATATTAAAAGGACAACAATTTCTGTAATTTTGTAGATATTTAACAATAGAACAGGAAAAATCTGTAACATAAACAGATAAATCATGTTAAATAACAGATTTTCTTTACTGTACTGTAATCCTGTTAACACTTATTTGTCCTGAGTTTTGTGCAGGGCGGGGTTAAGGTGTGAGGTGGACATTGGTTACTGGCGGTTTATCATAAACACATCCTAGCCCAGAGAGGTCCATCTGCTTTGATTTTATTTAGTGATTCCCTCCAGGGGCCCAGAGCTGAGAGAGAATAACAATACTCCAGCCCATCTGTTCTCGTAGAACCAGCCCCAGCTAAATTACCACGCACTACGAGCGGCTGGCATATGCTGTGGCATAAAGCTACAAGAGGGCATTGTGTGCCAGCTGTTGTGTTGACAAATACTTATCTGGCACTTCTCAAGTCAGGCTTGCTGAGCTGGTTTCAAGTTTGACTAAAAACTACAGAGGGGTGAGATGGGGAGTGAGGGTCCAGTGGGAGAGGGCGGGGGATGCCAGGTTACTCCAGGCTGTGTGTTTGTTTGTTTGTTTGTTTGTGGTCTGTCCACAGAAGTGGGTCACTGGATGATAAGAGGGAAAAACCTGAATAAACAGAGGAGACTAATTCTCCTCATTCTCCCATAAACACACCAAGAAGCTGTGACCATGTGACAATAGATGATCAGTGGTGGAGAAGATTAAGTGATGCTCATGATCATCCTGTCAGTGCAAGAGCAGAGGTGAATAACACACACCAATAATAATAATAATAGCTTTAGAGTTACTATTTCTTATTATTATTATTGTTATTATTATTATTATTATTATTGTCTAATATTTTGGGCTTAAACAACTGGTTTGTTTCAGCCCCCTGAATCATTCAGTTTTAAAACACATCATATTCTACATACGACTTTTATCGTTAAGTTTTGGTTTGGCCCTGCTTGACCCACGGCAGGATTTCTATCTGTTTCCTCTGACATGAATTGGAGGCACCAAGGACCTTCTGCAAGTAAGGCAGATGTGTAAGGCAGCCATGATAACCGCTACACTACTGAACTAGACTGCACTCTCCCATGACTTATCTTTCAAAACTGACTTTATTTTGTTAACATTTACAGGAACATCACTGACATTAACTTTCCAACTGTTACATACTGTACAGATTCACCTTTAAAAAAAACAAATCAAACTCCAACTTACATATCTTGTGTTTCCTTACAAGACAACAAGAGTCCAGTCAGTGACGAGCTTCAGCAGTGCACAAAACCAAAGACTTCCTTCAAACCTCTGTAGAAACAGTGGGAAACAGATCGTCACCTGGAACCATTTTATTCTCAGCTCGTAGTAAAGTACAATAATCTGGATTGAATTTGTCCAATGTTGTGGCGTATATGTAAAAAAGAAAAAAAAAAGGAATTCCCTTTAACTACTTTATAAATTTCACCCTCAGGTAGAGTCGGTGCATGAACCGTGTTCTGTAACAATGAGATACAATAGCATTAAAGATAAAGGTTTTACTCTTAGATCATATATAGTTCGTAATACACATATATGCTGCCTCAAGGTTACCAGCCTTGTGCCACTTCATTACCCATCCTCTGTGAGCGCCGCGCTGTTCCACTATTAACATTCAGTAGTTGCCATAACAGAGGGTAAACTACACGGACTCTCTTCAAAATACAGTGAAAGGGGACAAGTACCACACCATTCAGTGTCTTCAACCCTGTCACTGTTGTTGTTTGTTTTTTCTAAAAAAAAAAAAAAAAAAAAAAAGGAAAAAGGGTTTGGTTTTTTTTTAAAAAAAAAAAAAAAAAAAAAGGACAATGAGTCTGATGTATGATTAGAAGATAATAAATAGTATTATTCAGACAGTTCTTTAGTTGTGGCGTAAAGTTTAAACACAGCTGGAAACGTGTCAAATCTCCAGCCACAGGAAATCAGAGCCGCTATGTCAGGCGGAGAGAAAGGCTTCGTAAACTGAAAATATATTTTTTAGATTTAGATGAAGTCATCAACAACACGAGCTGAGACAATACACAGATCAGCAAATGCTGTTATTTCCTGTACTTCACCTCGCTGACTCCCCCCCCCCCCCCCCCCCCCCCCCCCCCCCCCCCCGAAAGCACGCAGAGCTGCAGCCACCAGCTTCACAACGGCAGCCATTGTACCACTCTCCCTTCACACATTTATCTGGCAGCTACTCCACATTAGCAATGCAGCCCATTCTTTACAGCTACGGAGTGGCAGCAGCAGATTTGTATTCTGTAACACACAACTCCTGACGTCTCCCAAACAACACAGTTGCACTCGCTGTAACTTTCAATGGGAGAGAAACATAAGAGTAAAGTCTGAAAGTTTCCTTTAAGTCCACTTCTGAATGAAAACAAAACAAAAAACAAAAAAAAACTACAGTACTGCCTTTGTCCAGTCTGTTTGCAGTAAAACATGAGGCTTTTACATTGGCTACATCTGCTTCTGCCAACATATACTGTATACTGAGAAGACAACAACTAAGCATGATGGGAGAAATAGGCAAACCTCTTCACACTGTTGTGTTTATGAGCTGGAGAATCTATGCTTTTAACAGAGTTTACACCAGTTTCTCAAGATAGTGTACACACACACACACACACACATATATAAACATACACACACACACACACTGCATGAGGGTTTGTGCACTGACTGACTTCCTGAACATGGCGTCTCCAGTCTTTTACAGTGATTAAGAATAGCAGGACTCCTATTTTCTTTACGTAAATGAGGCGGCCGAGGTTCTCCCACAAACTCATCTTGTGGTTTTTTTTTTCTTACGTGTTTGCTCGACCACAACGTCACAAACACACCCTCCCGCTCTTCTTCCTCCTCTCCACACTTCCTCTCAGGGATGGGAGTGAATTTCACCCGAGATCTGCTTCAATGCTCCGCTGTGAGACACAGAACAGCTACGAAGGACGACATGTAGAAAACAACACTAATGCACAGTGCAAATAGGCCCTCTCTCTTTTTTCCCCATGTGTCCAACTTGCAGAGATGAGCAGGTAGTGAGGAAAGCGGTTCACTCCAGGTAGCCTTTCTGAGTTTTTTTTTTTTTCAGTTGTGGTCTCCAGGGAATCTCCACTCCTGGTGTGAGGAGGACAGAAATGAAGGGACAGGAGTTTGGAGGAAGCTCTTACTTGTACAGGCTCATGGTCGGGCTCTGGTACATGCACATATAAGCGTCACACAGTAGGCGCCTGGCCTGGCCCTGGATGCTTTTAGGGTCCAGAGCGTGCAGCTCCTCTGGGGTCATTTTCAAATAGGCCTCCACCTCTGGACAAGGGGACACCTGGGGGATGTTGAAACCATTCTGTCCTCCTGCAGAGACACATCAAAATCACTAGGGGGTGTTCATGTATTTTCTACACAAAGTTAATGCCTGGGCAAAACCTCTGTGGAATTTGCTAAAGTTTGCTGAAATGTATTACTTACAATTAAATCACTCACAAATCCAACTTAACAAAAATCCAGCTGTGATTTTTCTAACGGCTGTAATCAGTGATCATCAGCAACTAGTCAACTTGATTTATACAGTATTATTTAAAAAAAGACTAATAATACATCAAAAGAGTTTTCAATATTTTCCACAAAAATACCTCTGAGTCACTTGGGTTTTTCTTTTCTTTTTCTTAAATATTTTTATGAAAACTAGTAGAAAACACAAAGCATTACTTCTGTCATTAGAAACATTGTTAGTGGTGGGTAAGTCTTATTTGAGAATAAGTGTGATGTCACAACCACGCACCATCACGGTCTGCCATGCTGTCGAAGAAGAGCCAGGCCGACTCTGCACTGCCGTACTTGACGAAGGCCACGTAATGACTGGTTTCGATGCAGAGCACGGCGAACAGCTCCATCCTCTGACGGGGAAAAAAGCCCTGACGACCCGTACCGTCCTGTAGCTCCTTGGGGACAGAAAGTTTCCCGTGCCGATGACTTTTCCTTCGTGGGTGGAGATGAACCTGATGAAGGAGTAACAAGACCACACACACTGTTACTAAGGCCTTAAATGGTAAAATAGTTGTTAAAAATATTTGTTATGAAGTAAAAAAAATGAAGTGCCAGGTGATAGTTTAGTAATACAGGACGGCAAAATATATTTACAATTTAATTAAATGCATTCATTACTCGACTCAAACTACTGCAACAACGCGACATGATTCCTTTGGATTTGGCGCCACCACATGGTTGACCTTGATAAAGGATTTAAATCGTTTCTTCAAACTTCATCTGGCGTTGCCACATCGCCCTCTGCTGCTTACCTGTGTATTGCACTTTTCACAGAACTGTTTAATTTTGCCGGCGGTGATGTCTCCGTCCTCATAACAGTCTCGACACTCGTACAGAGCCAGACCCCCACAGATACGACACTCCCTCGGTGCTGGTGGGTAAAGAAACACACTTTTACTCTAGGCGACTGTCTGCGCACAAAACTTCAGTTGCAGTGACAACAACATGAAACAGTGTTTGTCGCAACTCACTGTCCTCCAGAAGGTCTGTGATGTCTAACTCCAGTGAAGGGAAAATCTTGTTGAACATTTTGAAGTCTTTGCCAAAACGAGGCATTTGGATGATGAGACAGGACGGAGCCTGTGACGGTGTCACAGAACCAGCAAAAATGTTAAAAACAAATATTACAAGATTACCTGATTCTACCAACATCTTTTTTTTTTTTCAAATGTTTTACCATATTGTTGAATCCAAGAGCAATATAATTAATAAATATCAGATTTATTTATTGGGACTTAAAACTATGGTTTATTTATTCCTGATACACCCTCAATGTTATATCGTTTGTTAAACCATCATGGATTAAATCATTTGTTAGTTTTTGATCAAGATTTGCCACAGAGCAGAGACACAAAAATTGTTTCAATGTTACTAACAAATAAACAACTTTGAAAAATAATTAACAAAATAAATTGAAGAAATTATTTTTTCTTTAAATAATATGTATAAAAGTTAATGTCTAATTTCTTAAAGAAAAATAAATTTTCTTCAGGATTAATAATTTGTATGAAACTTTTAGCCCAAAACCGCGAGGTGTATTTGATTTACACATTCAAGTAAAAACTATAAAGAGACATGCTTAGTCAGAGATTTGTTACACTTTCTTGTTACTCTAAATAAAGGCTTAGCTGCTCTTTAGTAACTCTCAACTCACACTAGGTGGCGCCAGTTACATACAACATCAGGGGACAGAGCCAATGTTCCATAAAGCAGCCATGAATTCCATAATGATGGTAACATTTGTAATTCTAAATGTGGACACATTAGGAAATAGAGGTCAGATATAGAAGTGAGTGAGGGCCGTTTTAAAACAACATGTGACAGTAACAGATGCTGAGCTGACATGAGAATCTAAGAGTTTATAGTTCCAGTGAGTTCATGTCAACACGGATGATGAACCCAGATGAAAGAGTTTTGTCAATTTGCCTCCATAAGTACAGCTGATAAGGACACAACAAGGTGGCACCAAAATACACTTCTGAATCAGCACACAGTTATAAGGAAATTGTGTGTATGTGTGTGTGTGTATATATATATATATATATATATATATACACCTATACACATATATTAGGTCAGTCTGATAAAAACTCTGCCCAAAAAAATCAACACTGTGTTTAATCAAAAAACTGAAATGTCACCTCCGCAAACTTCAGGTCGCCATTGATGAAGGACCACTCCAAGAGCTGCTGGATTGTGGGAACTCCGACCTTGTCCTTTTTGTCCATGAAGATCTGGTAAAAATAACAGTCCTGGACTTTCTGACCAGCTGACCTGCAGGGTGTGATTTAACCACACAAGGACAAATCTCAACACTTTATTCCAGGGAATTTCACATACAGTAAATATTAGAAGTAAAACTTCCCCACTTTGGTAGTATAAAGAAAATGTATACATATAGACATAAATGTTGCTCTTTTACCTCCAACCTTTGTGATGTACCATCATTTACCCAAAAAGACCAATAGACCAACACTTACCGTAGCTTCAGTAGTGGATCCACCCTCAGTATGTGGTGGAAAAGAATGTTGAGGAATTCCTCTGGATCTGCAGATTAAGACGTGTTCATGTAGGATTTGTGACACACTTTCACAACTGTTGAAGTACACCAGCGATCTCAAACTCACAGCTTACAGGCCACCTGTGTTTTTATAATTATTTATTTGCAAACTGTTTTTTCATTCATTTAATTAATTGAATGGGTTGCTTAAAAATGAAGAAATTGTACTTGTATTAGTAGTTTGTGCTGTGGTATTATACAGTATATATATTTAAAATAAACTAGCCTTTCCCAAATATACTTTTTGTTTGTTTTTTAATCATAAATAAGACACTGATGATGAAATGACAATGGCAGGATTGGCCCTCACGTCGTTAGTGTTTGAGACTCTTGCTGTACACTAAAGATATTCTTGGGCTAATTAGGTTATTTCACTTTCTACAGCTACAGGTTGGAGTCATTTTCTCAAACTGGTATACTCATTTGTTATATTAAATTATAATTATTAAGGAAAAGAAAAATTACAGACTAGAACTAATGTTACAGTGAACATTTTCTTCTTCGTCTACCTTTTTCTTCAGATGTAAACCCAGACGCAGCTTCCACTTTCTCTAGTATTCTTCTCAGTTTCATCACCTTTGTGGCACAGACATAACCATGTCTGAAGGGCAAAAAAACAGAACAAAAAAATAAACTTGACTGAAACATGAATTTTCAATTACAAAGATCCCAAGAGTTGATCTGAGGATAAGGCGGTGCAAGTGACTGGCCACATATGCACTGTTCAAAAACATAGTACACAGTGAGTTAAGAACAAATACACTGTGACTTACATGCGAAGAGGGTTGACTATTTCAGTGCGTAACAGCTCCTGAGTCTCTCTGTAATATTCTACGTCAGTCTTCGATCGAGGTCTGAGTAGAACTGTGTCCAGTACAGAACTGAAGGAGAAAAGACTGTGGAACAGTAGAAGAGGGGACAATGAAGACGTAGTCTCCAGTACTAGAGTCTATCAAAGTATTAATAATTAATGATTAATCAGAAGATGGATTAATCTTAATTAGTCATGAATAATTTATCATGATTATTTGAGATAAAGCAAGGTTCCTGAATATAACACATCATTTTTGTTTTATAAATGTTGCTAGACGAGACAAACATATATAGCTCAAGTGTGTTGTGTTTCAGATGGTATTTTAACCTTGAGTTGCTTCAGTGATTCAAAAACATTTTTCCAGCAATGTGTGTAAATGACCACGTGTATTTGTGGGGAGGTTTTTCAATCAAATTAATTTTGCAAATAATTAAGACATTTAAGATAATTTTTACAGCTCTTAATATGATCATGATGAAGATTCTCCAGTACTGGTATCTAGATGTTAACTTGTTAGACCTCACTACAATGACAGTGATAATCTGAGGATGTCCTTAAATTGAATTCTGTTTTTTACTTTAACTAAAACAAACTCTTGCGGTTTGTGTTGATTGGTTTATCTGGAGACTCTTTGGCAGAATCAGTAGAAACATCAGCAGCAGCACAGTTTCCTGCCAGTGTTAAAACTGTCCACTAACAAGCTCCAGCCTCTGGGCCAACACAGGGAGAGACGATCAATACCAGTGAAAACATTGATAAAAAAAAAAGTACAAACTGTAGCTGATAAAGCAGTAACAGTAAAACCAAAAGCACTGACCAGAAGAGAGTGGAGTCCAAGTAACAAGAGTTGTAATGGCCCTGGATGCCTTTCTTTTTTCCCACCATAACATCCAAGCCATCATGTTCTGTGCGGGGGGGCGTGTTCTCATGTACTACCTCACTCAGGTAACCTCCAAATGCTGCATTTACAAACACAGTGTCATCATAAGCCAGTAAATCTGGATGCATTCTTTTTTTACTATTATTATTATTCTGACTCACCGATGGAGTTGCACCTCTCTATGGGGTTGGAGGAATGGTGCTGGGAGGGGAAGCGGGAATCTGGTCGGCAGCACTTGAGCTTCACAAAGAGAGCTTTTTTAGAAGGGCAGGTGAAGTACCTGGTGCCTTTGAAGGTGCCGTCTGTGCAGCCAGGACATTCTTCTTCCTGAAGGAGAAGGTCAATTTGAGATCACCACCATACACATGTGTACTCTGTTACTGAACTACATTGTTTTCATCCTTTTCACTCAAGTCAAAGTTGCATTTATTAGAGAAACAATGATAGGATTTATTATTAAAAACTACAAAGCAATGTTTTAAAGAAAAAAACAAGTAGCAGTTGTATGGCAAAATATGTCAAACAACAGACCATCGGTCCAGCCAATCACCTGCGAAGAAATTTTGGAAGTGGCCATAGATGGCACATAGCGTTACAGCGTTTTATGACACACATTATGTCAATGATTAATTAGGTTCCGTTTTTCAGAAACCTCAGGTTTCCAAACTAAAATAATGACTAGACTAAGACATCTGAACACATTTTCATTTAGGTGAAACAGAAATGTAAAAACAGCAGAGACATCTCACCAGCTCAAGCCCAGCCAGAGGCTCTGACAGACCAGGAGGCAGACCCACCCAGCGGATGACACCACACAGAGGAGGATTCTCCTTCACCTCCACCAGAGAGCCCACCTCGAGTCCCGGCTGCCCACGAGGAGGGGTTGAAGGCCGTGGTGATGGAGGTGCAGCAGGTGATGGAGGCTCAGGTTGCTCTCCCATTACTGACTGTACAGATAGAGACAGAGGCCCATGACTCATGTTATCTAGGGGCCCCGTCTTCCTGTTCAGGCTGAAGGGCAGGGAGTGGAACTTGTTGTCACTGGACAACGAGGCTGAGGGTGGAGCTCTGGAGGGCGGGGAGGCCTGAGTGAAGTCGGGAGGAGTTTCTGTAAGTGACTTGGCAGGATCTTCACCAACTGTGGGAGAGAAACCACAAGCAGCCTTTACAACAAAACACAGCATTTCATAGAGCAATCTTTACAGATAGAGACTTCACAGAGAGAAAAATGTCTTTAAGGTGTGAGTGGCATGGTAAATCCAGAGTGGACATTGGAGATGGATTGGAGATGCACTGGGGACGAATTCAGATGGTGTGGAGTTCACCACTCATTCCAACAGTGAAAAAAGAAACCCACAATTACAACTTCGGGACTTTGAGACATGGAGACCACAGCAATTATACACCTGCAACAACCAACATAAAAAAATACAGCTGAATCACCTGATTCTAAAATACAGTAAAACAAAAACTTCCCCAACTTTCATCCTCACACCTGGCCCATGAAACTATTAAATATAACGTGCAAATAAAGGAGAACAAAAACTGAATTCACATGAAGTGACGTAGAAAAACATGAAAATGAAATGTGTCCCTTCACCAGTAGAAATACCAAACCCATGACAAAAATGAATAAATCCCAAATGCCCCAAAACAAAGGCTTTGACTAATGCTTTAGGACTGCACACTGTCCTACGTGTTACCTGTTTTTTGATCCATCCAGCAACAACAGTCATTTAAAGTAGCGATTAGCCGAACTGAGCATCACTGAAAGCCTTATGTCAACACCAGTGACTCCATGCAAGTGGGATGTGACACTGAGGGAGGATGAAAGATGAGACCAGTGGAGGCGTCTTTATAGCAAGCTACTGTAACAAACTATTCTGGGTTTTTGTTTTTTGTTTGTTCCTCTGCCCCCTTTACCTTTGGAGTAAAAATGTAGTGCAGTTCTAGATGTGGAGTAAAACTGGAATCAGTTTGATGCAGCATCATTGTTGTTATAATTGTAATACAGGAAACACTGGTGACTATGTATAACTGTGAGCTAAATAACAGAACATGGAGGAGCTTCAGTTTAGTTTTTTTGAGTCATAACTATTACATGGTTTCATAACTAAAAATGTATCTGTATCTCTATAGCCTATTGAAAACTATTTATGCTCATAGATCAACTGAGTTGTGTTGGTGTTATTTTTTTTTCTTAAGCCAGTTTCAGCACTGAGGCTTTGTGCCAAAAAAGTACCTAACAAAAGCAATGGTTTGAAATAAAGTCCCAGTGTGCATTGCTTTGGATAATGTTTGAAAATATCGAAAAGAAGCCCACGCCAGTGCTGGTTCAATACATATCACATATCCTGATATTTAAATAAGTCAAATTTCAAAGATGGAAAAACATTTCCAGTGGAAAAACTTTCATATGATTTATTGTACATGTAGCAAAACCCAGAGTTCTGAGGTCTAAGTGCATGAGCAGAACCAATCAGCAGGTAGCTTGTCATGACCAGTAGCTTGCTGGTGAGGTGGTCAGCACCCCGTAAGTACCTAAGTTTTACCTTCATCAATGTACCATGTGCTTTTGGATTTGGTCTGGACGGGGGGGTCAACAGAGCTGCCATTTAAAGTATAGTAAAACTCAGACTTGCTCCTACTGCCACACTGATGAGCTAATCCTGCAAATAACACAAGTACATTACAAAAAAAAAAAAAAAAAACATAGATGTGTGTGCATGTGAGTGTTTGGAAATAAAACATCAGTAATATAGTAATATATTCGTTAAATTAATTAAATTTTATTTAAAATAAATCAAAATGAACAAAAATCAAACATCTGCTGCACAGTTATGATTTTACCAAAGTTAACTGTGCAACCTGCTAATGATTGTTGTTATTCCTAAATACCTTGTTTTTCTGAAGTTTGTATTAACCTTTTTCTAGCAAATGCATATTATTGTCCCTTAATGATATGATTTATTACAGCTGTCAAACAAATGAAACACTGGAACACAAAGACCAATAACAGCGGGTAGATGTTTGTGTTTCAAACCTGATTTTATTTGTGACTTATCCAAATGATGGAATTATTTATATGGAAAAATGTCAAGAGAAATATGCAAAACTATAAGTCGTAATTTAGATTAATTGAGTTGTTGGATCTTAGTCATTAGTCAACATCGTAGTACGTGTCCAGATTTCTTGTTTTTCACGTGTCTTAAACAACATTAATCAGCCTACAGTCCCTAACAATCCGTTTGACATGTGTGGCACTCAGGTTGTCAGTCGCAGACCTGCTTACTGATTTGTACTCAGTGAGGCTGGTCTGATTCAAGCCAGACGTCTGTCCAGAAGCTGAAGTCACCACAAACCCAAACTCGGAGCTGAGATGGTATTTTAAGCTCGGGGAGCTTTGTGACTTTTTTCCAGCGGTGTGTATAAATAACAATGTGCGTAATGACTGTGTATTAGAACAATGATAAGTGGATGAACAGTGGAGTTATTGGATATAGAGTGCGAGCCAATGTGCCCAATGTGTTAAAATGCATTAAAAACTTTAATCTGATTAATGTAATAAATTAATAAATGTACTGAATTTATCTCTTTTACATTTATTAATACAGCTTGATATGTATATTTTAGAAATGTCCATATCCATTATGTATTGAGTGCATACTGTTCAGTACCTTTGCTCTTTGGTTTGCTCTGTCCAGAGGACGGCTTCTCACTGGTGTTGGTTCTGGGGACAAAACTGTGCTTTTGCAGTCTTTGGTCCTGCATGGAATATTCTGAAACAGAAAAAAAACGTACTCATATTAAATAGAAATCAAACCCTCTGGTTGTAGAAAGTACTTGACTTAAAAATACAATTCAAGTGAGGTAATTACAAAATGCCTGTAATATACACCCTCAATTCTTAAAGGCAGTGAGAGCATTAGCTGAACATATCAAAGACATTTGTATTTGCTGAACTATACTTTGGCATTATCTAAAGAAATACTTAAGATAGTAGTGACCTAACTTTGGAAATAACAAATCTGTAATGTGCTAACTTGAGAATGTCTAGTCTTTTGCTTTGAATAAAAGCCCAGTCTTGCAGAGGACAACTTCGACTGTCCACAAGGTCTCTTTGGATGTCCTCGTTAAGTGTATTTTTATGTGTTCTGCTCAATCTTCAGGCAGATAAAGGAGCGTCTACTCAAAAGATGCTGCAAGACAAAGTTCTAAAATGAATAATCATTGCAGAGGCAGCTGTAACATACATAAACATATCAATCCGCCAATGTGGAGAACAAAGAGCCTGGCTATCTCACTTGACTTTCAAAAACAAGGGAGCCATCAACACAAAAGGCCTTCTGTTCCCACTGCGAGCAAAACACAAACTCCCAACGCTCTGATCAAGCTCAGCCACGGACACACAGATCAACAGCTGAATATGTTCAATAAATGCTGAGTCATGGCACTAAAAACCACGAACAAAGACTTGTCGACTCACCTGGCATCACGTCACAGATGGGGACGAGTCGAGTGTGCTCCAAACTGGCAAAATTACACAACAGCTTCCCGTCAAATACACCGTCCCAGTCACCAATAGGATTGTCCTGAAAGAGTGGAGACAGTATAACAAAAATTACAGACTTACCCAGTGTCACATGCACTAATCGTCAGTTGTCCTGTCACCTAAACTAAAAAGAATCCTTTGGATTGATCCTCTGTTCTATAATGATCCGGTGCATATTTCTTCTCCTCCACATCAACAACAGTCCAAACGCCCAAACACTCTCCTTTCCCTGCAAGCCTAACCACACAGTTGTCCTCTTTAGTTATTCTGTATTCCAGAATTCTTCTCCACTGGGATAGTGTTGGTAAAGCATGAGGCCAGTGGCACCTGCCAAATAAGATGGGGCGAGGCTGGACGCAGAGTGAGGCAGAGCAGTGGGCTCGTCCTCAGCTGCCTGCTGGCCACAAGCCATACAGTTGGGTCATACAGCATTAAGTCTTTACCTCACACCCCGCGTGACTGCCTTTGTGTGTGGGTGGTTCAGATGCACTGAGTACGCTGCTGCTGCTGCTGCTACTTCTGTTGCTAACAATAATCAGTCAAATGCCAAAGTTGTGTGTTTTAGTCTCTCTATGATTGGAACACCACTAAGACCTGTCAACTGGAGTCATACACACTAGTTATTGTGAACCTAGTAGTCATAACCTTTTTGTTGTCTGGTATGTTCTGTTAAAGTTATGTCTGTCACTCAGCAGAATATGTTCATCTGAAACAACGTTTTACTTCACAACGTCTACTTTCGTTTTGATCTTTTTTTATTCATGCCACTGAGCCGACTCAATTAATTCTCGATTTATTTGAATAGTAGAATATTAAAAATGTTCTTTGCATATTGAACCTGCAAGAACTGGTTTTACGAGAACAAGTTCCTTTCAATACAATAAGCTGGTTCAAGTAAAACTTGAAGATTGAAAAACACTCACCATATCCACTCCTACATAATAGCCCAGACTTTCATTTCCTGGTAGGAGGTCACAGAAAATGATGGTGCCTCTCTCGGGTCCGTCTCTGGTCTGCACCAGGACCCGAGAGTTAATTTCCAGTCGGGGAAAGTCATGATCATCTTCTACCAGATTGACATGGTCCACCTCAAGCTCGCCTGTGACATCATCATCATCCTCCCAGAGTTCAAGTTTGTCCAGGGCCACAAACACACCGCATTCATCCTCACAACGAAAAAGATGTCGACCCTGGTAGGAGCCTTCTGTGAAGCCCTGGCCCCGGCCCTCCTCCTGGACGGAGAAAGAAAGTAAAGAGAGAAGATAAGAGAGTGAGTCAGAATAGGATCCAACGATGGTGAAGTAATTATCATAAGAAGGCAGGCAGGTAGGGAGGCTGCTTACTCAGCATTTCTGAGTGAATGTAAGTCAACAACATAGAGCAGTGAGAGCATGTGATCGATTACTGCAGCATGAATAAGTCCTTACCTACTGTCATGATAAAATACATCACAAAATCTAAGATGGCACAAGATGTTCTCGTATTCCTTACTGTAACGTATCCCATTTATTTTATCCAAACGGTGCCAAAATCCTTTAACACTGGCAAACACTATGTTGGTAATTTTTATTTTATCTACAGGGCAATAAATCTACAACGTGCCTCATGCATATTTGCAAACTCTGAAGTCTTACAAGTCGTACTGAGCTGCAGTTTAAAGATCTGAGTGTCATCAGCCCACTACAGAACACAAGAAGACTCAGCAGAATAAAAACACTGTGCGGCAATAAGCATCCCTTTGTTTTGTGTCAATTACAGTGTGTGAGTAGAAGACATGACAATGATCCAATTTAGTGCTAGTACAAATCTTTGTGTGATACACAAATAGAAATACCGACACAAACTTCCTGAATGTGAGGAGTAAACTCCCCAGAATTTTCTACTGGATTTATGTCTTGTGGAGGCCAGTAAAAACATTTACATTTGTATTCACAAATGACTGTCCTTTAAGTCTCATCATGGTTTCCTTAGTCTTTCTTTGAGGTGTCATGTCTAAAATTCTTCAAATTTCACTTCAAGGCTGGACAAAGTTTATTATTAGTGTCTTAACTGACTAGTGTTCTTTCTAGAATTCAGAAATCTTGGGACCCTAGAAATTTTAACAAATCCTGTTAAGCATGCACCAGTACCAATACTGCTATTGGGGGGCGACACTTTTACCTCTACTGCAAAGCATAGCAATCCAGTTGTACATTTATTGAAACCAAAGAAGTACAGTCAACAGTACTTGATAGTGGCAAATAAACAAATGGATTTTTTTTATGTTAGTTTGAAAATAAAAATCTGGAAAAAACCTAAATCCTGTGTATCTTTTGTGGTCAAGAAGTCGAAATCTTAAATATAAATAGTAAATATTTTAATCGCAATGTTTTCACAAATGCCATCTAAACGTTGAGTGAGTGCACACATAGTGTACACATATAGTGTACCTTAAAAAGAAAGCTGTAATTTAAACCTTAATACATATCTTAAGCATTTGTATTACTGTATAATCGTTGGGCATTATTTCAACGATGTGTGAGTTAAAAAAAAAATCTGATTAATTTCACAAATTTAAAATATACATTTTGACAGTCCTTGTTTTAGGTAATAAATATTTACTTAAAAAAAATTAGTTATGAGGGTCACAACACTTACTCACATAATGCCATGACAGCTATGTCAGTTCAGATCTGTCATGATGGGAAATGCATCCTCACTTTCTCTACAGTGTTTGATCCACTAAGAATACATGACACTAAAATTGATTCTACATAATAAATAAACAACAAGAGATATACAAATACCAAACAAACAAAAGATAAACAGACAACAGTCAAAATCTCTTACCAGGAGCTCTACTCCAAACCAGATTCCAGAGAGTGCCCTGTCAGGCAGCAGTGAGCCTTTGAATCGGACCACACCAGGCAGAGGTTCATCTCCAGAACGTAACTGAACACGTACCTTGGAACCACAGTCTATTTCACAGCAGCGTGCCAGCCGTGAGTCATTGCAGAGCAGCGCGTATCGTTCCTCACAGTTGGTAATAGGGAACAGTAACTCGGCCAGTTTCTCATCCAGCTCCTGAACATCACGCTCATCCAGGCTCAGCACAACATTAGTCTGATCCAGAATGCGAAGACTTTTCTTCCCCTTGCACGGGGGCAATGTTCGGCCCAAGTTGTTGCGCTCCTGACATGCTTGGCCCAGACTGCCACGTGGGATTCTCAGTGTCTTCTGGGGAGGTTTCTCCACCGTACACTCTTTTATGACCATGTAAAAGCGCCAGTCTTCCCTGAAGCCACCAGTAGGCTTCTCCTGGCTCCACAAGACAGAGCTCATGGCTGCATTCTAGGCAAGAAGTCCAACATCAAGGCAGGCTGGACCAGGGATCTGTGGTGAAGAACACATGAATGAACTTATAACCAAACAAAGTGTATGTTAAGGTTCAATGCTAAGATTTGAAAAACACCATGGCAAGGCCCAGAAATATAGTTAAAAGCCAAAAAAACTTTATTTTCCTGACCTGATTTAATGTGACTTTAAACATAGACTTAAAAAAAAAACGATTTTGCTGTTTCTTTAAATGTGTATTTTCTGAATATATATATATTTTTTATTAAAGTTACTTGCCAGGTCAATAGTGAAGTTTAGGGTAGGCTGGTGACAGATCTTTTAAACATCTAAATGTAAAGTGTCAAAATTATTTTATTAAACTGGAATCATGTTATTTAAAGATGACCTGAAACAAATGAGTGAGGCAATATACTATTTATATGCAAGTATTTATCTAAATTAAAAGTCAAGTCAGAAAAAGCATAATTTCCTCATACACTTTGTACTATACTAAACTAATAATACTGATTTCAATTCATTCTGACATTTTATTTTACATAGACATATATATGCACTGTACCTAAATATTTCTGTTAAATTCATTACATTTATATTCTTCCCAAAGATCTATCGTTTAATTTCAAAGACTCTGGAGTCTTTATCTATCGTTTAATTTCAAAGACTCTGGACTCTGGACTCTGCCAAGTCATCTGTCCATTACTAATACATTGTAAAAATGTCTATTTTTTTTTTTAATTAGTACGGTTTCATATCTTACAACCAGATGTGATTTACTGATAAAACGGGCGAAACACACACAGAAACAATGGTACAAGACGAATGGACTTCCCCTGATGACACCTCAGATGTTGATCATCCACCTGACAGCCAGAAACTAATACAATCATATTTCCCAGCGTAGGCGTTGAAGTTAGTTCCCCTTTTTACGATACAAATAGAAAAATGTATTGGTTACGAGAAACTGGGTTCAACCAGTTTAAAGTTATTCCATACTAGTGGAATAACTACTAATATTAGTTGGATTTAGTTACATTTTCACTAGATTGTACTGAAATGGCACGATTCAAATGTTTTTTGTGTGTGTGTGTGTGTGTGTGTGTGTGTGTGTGTGTGTGTGTGTGTGTGTGTGTGTGTGTGTGTGTGTGTGTGTGTGTGTGTGTTTATTCCATCCTCTCCGACAGTCTGTGTTACTCACATCATCACCAACATGTTTAATGAACCTTTATCTTGACAACCTGAGCTGCGGTGTCATCACCAGGCAGAAGCTGTCATTCACAGAAGGCCCTCTGACAGAGGGAAACATCGAACGTACCGTGGGCTTAGAACATAACACACGCTGCAGTTGTAAACAACACTGTTGCCTTACCTTTGATAAACGTCACGGTTGTTAAAAGGTGCAGGTAACTGTCATCTCAAATGTCCACCTCGGTTACATACAGGCCTCCGACAAGCAGCTCTCTGTAACCTACTTGATCTCTGATTAGCTTAATGGCTAGCTGTTGGCTAAGCAGCTAACCTATCAGGCTAGAGTAAGCCTGACGAGCCGCTCAGCAGTGAGCAGGCTGGCAGCGATACTGCCGCCCTGTCCAGTATAATACCTGCATTTGAGTACATATGTGCCCCATGGCTAATCAGTGAAATAACTGTGCTCCTGTAGCTGTGAGATGTATTATTTACAGGAGACGACCTCACCGAAGTTAGTGTATGATGTCACCACTATAGCACACTGTGATTGGTTGGTTTTTCAGTTTTCAGTAGCTGATTGGTCGTAATTTGTGTCTGTACCGAAGTCCCATTCTGTGGGGTTTTCCCATGGATGACAGAGTGTCAAGTTCGGTTGCAGCGGAATGCAGGCACCGCTTGTCAGGTGTTTGCTGTAGAACATTTATTCAAAACAGAGAGGAACTGATAAACTATTTAAACTGTAACAGGAAAACACTCGAAGTGTAATATAAAGAAAAAAAGATAAGTATAGTATTAAAGACAAATTATAACTATAATCAAGTAAATAATGAGACATTATGAAATCGATAACTATTATCAATAATATTAGTAATTACAGCAAAGGAATAATAAATGCAAACATTTCCAAAAATAAATCATGGAATTTCCCTGAATATATGACAGTTATACTGAGTAAAAACGCAACAGAAAGGTTATAAGGTTAAAATAGTTTCAGAAGATTGAATGATAAAAACCCCATTTCAAAGAGGAAGCTGTTCAGCCAGAGGGATTTTAGGGTTTAAAAATATTTACATTTATTTTCCAATATATATGTAAAATTTCACATATTTAGTGTTAAAACAATTCCAACAAAATACCACAAACACATTAACACAGTGGTTCGCAATAATTTTCTGTCATGCCTCCCTTTGGGGACATAATGTTCTCTATTGACAGCTAAAAAGGAATTCAGAAAACCAGTCTTGATTCACGTTGCATCATATCCTCTACCTCCTCTGAACTGAGGTGGTTGTTTCTCAACCTGCATCACAAAGGAAAAATAATTAAAAAAAACACAGAGAACATGTATATATAATATATATTTATATATATAAATATAAATAACCACATAGATAACCACAGTAATTGGTAGTATACCATAATGACTTCACATGTTGATTGTGTTTCAGGGCTTGAATCAGGCATTCTACTCCAGTTTTTGTTATGCAGTTTTCTGTGAGCCTTTTGCAGGAGGTGAGAAAGGTGGAGCACTTTAGGCACTACTATATGGAGCGGTAAAATGTCAATTCAGCAGTTCAGTCACCATAAATGTCAAGTTTCAGCAACTACTTACCAGATCTCCTCTAGTGATGAGCTGTGTCTGATGATATTAGCAAGTGCGCAGGCCCCTGTGCTGCCCACACCATTACCAACCAGACTAATGGTATCATGCACATAAAATACACAAGAATTAGCAATAAACAACCTTCTAAATACATCCACAACTTTAAAAGGTAACAAATTATACCTGAGCCATAGCAGAGTTTCACTGTTCTGTAATGCATCAGCTAGTGCCTGTGCCCCTGCATCACCTATCTTATTGCCCCAAAGCCTGTGGATAAAAAGAAAGGTTAACACATTTGAATGTGCACAAACATACATGGATGTAGTAAGATGAGCATTACCCTAAAAACTTGAGTGAATGATTCACTTTCAGGCCCTCTGCAAGCTGCTTTGCACCTTCTGCTGTAATATTATTATTTCCCAGCCTAAAAGACAATGATCAGGAGCAAAACCCTAAAATTAGCCTTCAAATTGTTGAAAGCAGGCCTGATTGATTGTAGTAACAGCTAAATATAGGTAAAAAAAATTAAAATAAGCCAATGAATGATGAAATCATGACCTTGAAGTTGTAAGCAGAGAATATATAATAATTGCTAAAAAGCTAAAAGGAGAAGTTACAGGATCAAGTTTATGTTTGAAAAATAGCAGGTTAAAATCCCATAACCCATATTTAACAAAAGAAGGACCTCAAAGATCAAATGTTGAAGATAATTGTCCCAGCAGAAAATACCCTAAACATTTTAGCAAAAAAAAAATGTCCATATGAAAGCTAACTTCCTACTAATGTAACACTCACTAAAAGTGAGTTATGTACTCACTGACCTTAAGGAGAGGAAGTTCTGCTTGGTCTTCAAAAGAAGAGAAAAGTGTTGAGTGCAAGCATCAGTCAGTTTATTGTTGAAGAGTCTGAAGAAAAACAAACCAAAAATAAATAATAATTAATAGTTTGTTTCCTTTATATTATTATTATTATTATTATTATTATTATTAAGTATCTTAACAATACATACGCAATTTTTTGGAAGTTGACACATTGGATACATTTAGGAATCAATTTGCCGATTCCTTCATCAGTAATATTGTTATTTCTAAGGCTAGGAAAGATCAAAGACACATTAGACGAGACACACTTCTATTAAAGAAATGCATTATAATATCAGAAACATGATACTCACTAGAGGGCATTGCAAATGTGCATGCAGGGAAGAAGTTGCTCAACTCCTACGTCACCTATAGAATTGTTGTCCAGCTGTAGGCCTACAGGGCCCTTCAGATGCTGTAGGACGTAGGCCAGCGCAGTGCACTCTATTGGACCAATGTTACAGTAGGTTAGTTTTAGATGGTCCACTTCTAGCTTACTCATCGCATCTTTGGCAATCCTGGTTTCCTGCATCTCATATATACATTTGATGAGCCAAACAAAGTCGGGCATTGCATGCATGCTCTTCTTTTCCCCTGCAACAGGCTGCGGTATAGACCTAAAGTGTTTCTGCAGGCCTTTGGAGAGACATTTGGAAACCTGCTTGACCTTCCTCTCCAGTGTCGTACTGGGGCAGCTTTGGTGCCACATGCTCAGATAGCGATCAGACAGCAGCCCAGACATAAAGGTGGCTGTGATTTGCAAGTTTGGTTTTTCAACTGCTGTGTCTTGGTCCCCTGGTACCTGCTGTTCTTGGTGAGTGGCAGGAAAGCAGGCTCTGAAACATTCAATGCCGGATTCTGTCATGTCCTGCAGCTCAAATAGTTTAGGTATTGTTGAGCGATCACTGCAACTGGACAAAACAATGTGTAAGGCGGCAAAGAAACACTGAATGGTCACATGGAGGAATTCATAGTGTCTGCTGTGGGAGAAGGACATATCTTTGCTCAGAATGAGAAAGCCCATACTGATGTCTTTTTCACTCACACCACACATCTTTAAGTGAGAAAATGAAAAAACATAACAGGTATTTCCTATCCCATCAAATGCAAGCTGCCCGAGATGTAAGACTGTTTCTTTGTTTTCCTGGAGCCAACCCAGGCCTACAGAGGTTTTTTCTGGTCTCTGATGCTGTAGAAAGTGCTGTAAAATCATCATGTAAACATCTGTGATCGTCTGTAGGCTGCCCTCTTCACAGCCCAGCAGCTCCCTATGGCACTGTGAGACTATCCAGCAGAGAACTGGACTATGGCACAGTCCAAGCAAAGCTGTGTTCGTTTGTAGGGACCCTAAAACTTTAGCAGCCACAGTGGGGTCGCTGTGATGCTTTCTTACAAAACAGTCAATCCCACTCGGAGAAAAACCTTTCAGAAAAACCTCTTTTCGAAGATGTTTCCTTAGCACAGGCCCAACTGCCTCTGGACGACTAGTTACTACTTTCCACACACCCTTCATGAGGGAACCTTGAATTAAATTAAATAATAGAATGTGAACAGGGGCACGTTGAGTGGGGCAGCAGAGTCTGTGCTCGTCTGAAAAGCTCTGCTTGAACTCATCCAGGCCATCAAATGTGAAGAGGATGAGATGTGGGTGGTCCAGGATGAACTGAAAAATCTCTTCCTGGTCCCTGTCCGGCCAACAGCAGTGCTGAAAGAGCAGCTCTTGAACCGAAAGTTCTCTCTGCTCTGAGTTCAGTTTGCGACAGCTAAAGGGAAACAGAAACAGGAAGTCCTGGAGTGCCGTCCCTCGAGCCCAGAGCAAATGCAGCCTCTGGATGAGGGTGCTTTTACCACTACCTGCCTCTCCAGACACAAGCACAGTGTCTGCTTCCACATTCTTCGTACCTGCTGTACCTACTATATCCTCCAGACCCAAAGGTGCTTCAGTGCAATCATGACTTAGTTCCAGCTCGACGTCAGTGTAAATTTCATCCAAAGACATGTGGCTTGTTCCGCCGTAAGTGCTGAGGAAGCAGGACTGGGCCAACACAGAACTAGTCAGTTTCTTCTGAAACTTTTGGAATTCTGTAACAGAAAGGGCAGATGTAACGTCCATCCAGGGAAATGATTGAATACAAATACAAAGAGATCTTTGATGTCTCGCCTTTTGAAAGTTCTACTTTTTCCTGGTTTAGTGAGGATCCAGATCCATACTTTTGCTGAATGAAATCCAGAACCACCTCTGCTGCTGGGTCACCTTTTGATCGGACATGATCCAGCAGACGCCTCGCCTAATCGACATATAAAGTGAGCCTTGAGTTAAAAGAATTTTAAAATTTAGATGCACTAATGATGTTGCTTTGATTTTAGTATTTATTTCTTTAATAACTGGGCCTGTTGAAATGTATAGCTTGTTACTGTGCAATCAGTACTAAGTCATTTAATGAATGCACAGGTTCATACAGTCATTTATCAATTTTAAACACCTAAAAGGTACAGTACGGCCGTGACACTGCCACTTAACAACATAACATACTGAAACCAATGTCAATTTCAACACTGTCTAATAAACAAGGCCTGCCATGATGAAGTGTTTGGCGACAGTGGCATTGTTCAAAAGACAGGAGGATGAACTGGAGGTGGCAGAGATGAAGATGAAGGAAAGGACATGAGCGGATCAGAGAGACAGATTAAACATAGTTTGGAGACAGACAGTGTTCGAGATGTTGAGATGGGTTAGATGTGGAGAGACAGTTGAGATATTTAACAAGTATGTTTAGATGGAGCTGTAAGACAGAATGAAAAAGAAAAAGCCACACAAAAGATCCAAGGAACTTTCAAAAGACATAAATGTGGCTGCTGTTACTGTGGAGGAGGCAAGAGATAGAGAGATAGCCAGAAATAATCTGCAGTGGTGAACCCTGAAGACAAGGTCTGTCAGTTGGTGTAAATGTATATCAAATTCATTTCTAACATTTGATGAGTATAAATATGAATGTATAAGTGAAGGCTGTGTGTGGTACCTGCTGAGAGGGGGTGTGTATAGGAAGCCGGACCTCATCACAGTCCCCTGATGTGAAATGTCCTGACCGAGTTAGAGCCTCTAGAGCACCACTGATGCATCCCTGCAGCTTCCTGACGAGGCTCGGTCTACGGTTCAGGAGACTTTCACTGGTTGGTTTGTGACACACATTTCTGTCTCGATTTAAACTGCATCCAGAGAAGGACAGGCTGGCATGCTGCCCTTCTGGCAGTGTCAGTTTGAGAGCAGATAACAACCCTTCACAGGTTACCGCACCCTTTGTGTAAACCAGGTCGAGCAGCTGGCGAGCGTTTGTATACAGTGCTCTGCCTGGTATCTGTATGTTCTGGTATTCCTCCCATTCAAGCTCTCCATGGGCCAACAGTAGATCCAGGACCCTCTCCAGATGTTCAGATGAGCCGCTGCTACATAATGCGTGTAGTAGCTCCGTCCGTTGCTTCAGGACAAGCTCCTGGGCAAGCATGCTGTCTGAGTGTGAACCTCCGCTACATTATCCTGCCAGCCTGTAACATGCAACCACAGGTTAGTACCAGCCTACTTCAGTTAAAGTCACATTGTGTCATTACTGTCAAATCAGAATCAACAATGCTACAATTATCACTTATACAGACTTACCAAAGCGCAAAATGTGTTCCCTCCATCTATCATTCAGGCAGAGCGACTCGCCTCTTCCTCATTCTCTCAAACCAAAACTAGTTCTGCTACTACTCTGAGTCCCTTTTGTGAACTTGAAACATAAATACGATCAGAATTTAACCTAACAAGACTAACTTCCCTGACGTCTACTGTCGCATATATAACGTGCGAATAACTTCTTTTTATTCAAACGTCAGTTAGAGCAACACATCCTCAACACATCCTCTTTTAAAAGTATGACACTACCTGAAAGCAGAAAGGGAAGTGAGTTTTAGTATTTCACAATTATTTACATGTTTGACGTTTTTAACCAAGTAGCAACCACAGGGGCAGTTGCCCTGAGACAGCCTGGTTTAATTTAAAAATGATTTAAATAATATAAAGCTAAAAGTAAATACAACTAAATGATGATGACAACAAGAAAAATAATAATAAATAACATTATTGTTATTATTATTATTATTGTTGTTGTTATTATTATTATTATTATTATTATTATTATTATTATTATTATTATTATTATTATTATTATTATTATTATTATTATTATTATATGAAATCGTTACACACAGGTTGTAATTTGCTCGAACATCCACTTGATGGAAGTGTTACCTAAACTTCTCTCATCTGCAGCGCTACGGTACGATGCAGTTGTTGTCATTTATTGTTAGTAAGCGATCAAAAACTCCTGTGCGGTTTCCCAGAGGTCAACATCAAAACTGGATGCAGAACATACTCCTAAAAAGAGTTTCTTATTTGAATCATTTGATTGTTTGAATTACTTTCATTACCTGCTGTCCCGTTTTTGTTTTCTCACCCTGACATCATCCGTCACTCAACAATTAGCTATGTCTTGGTTTGTTTTTTGTCTTTGGGCTGAACAACTATAACCCAAGCTCCCACTGTCACTATAGACAACCATTCATTCTGACTCTAAATAAATTTGAAGATCTCTACTGTAAGAAGCTTTTACTCAAATGTGTAGATTTGTAATCTCGCAGGATAGACAAACCTAAACTGGAACTGTTAGCTAGGTAGATAAGCTCCATGGTTAGTTCTGACTGGAGTCAGTCCACTGCCAGGGTCACTGATTCTCCCCTGAAATAGTGACGATACAGGTCTTGGGTGAAGTTATTTCCACATCAGTTTGGATTCTATTTGGGTGAATATCAAAAGCAACGTGTGATGAGCTCAGTTTGAGTCCAGGTGCACTGATGTACTACATGTGTAGCTGATGGTTTCAGCAGAGACTCTGAACTCCCAGAAGCACTTTAGGATGCCATGATCTCATGAATTCTGGACTCAATCTGCAGGGAAGTTGTACTGCACAGCCAACATTCTCTCGTGTTCTGGATTGATTTGTTTTATCGGTGTATTTTTTATTATTATGGAGGTTTCATAAGAATGAGCATCTGCACTAG